TAACTGTCGGAAGATAAAAATAATAATGAATTAATCACACCATTATGGGTTATGGGTTTGTAGCATATAAGGATCGCAGCAGTTTAAAATTTTAAGATATTTGTATTTGAAATCTTAATAATTTTAATTACTTTAACCTTTCATAAGTTTCAATTTTATCACTATTTGTATTTTAATTTCTATTTTACTGATGATGAAATGAATGAAAATTAAAAATAACCATTGGGTGTGTTTTTGCCAACAATATTTCTTCTACAATTTAAATTGTTACACCAGGACAAAACCTTGTACTACATCATTCTGACATCACCTTATGATGTTACTTACACCAGGACAAAACCTTGTACTACCGTACATCTGACATCACCAAAAATCCATAAGTTTTTTTTTAACATCATTCTAGCTTGAGTATTTGTATTTGGGAAACTAACTAACTACGGTAGAGAACATGCCAAGAATAATATATATTCTTTCCCAAAAGGGAAATTTTAATCATGACAAATGATAATAATTACAGTAGCTATTGTAATAACATCATGAGTAAAAACATTTTGGGCTTTATTTTAATTGCCTTAATGTCATTGACAACAAATTCAATGGTAGTTTTCACCTCAAAAAATACACAAAAAGAAGAGGTCAATGGCAGAACACAGAAAGTCTTTAACCCTCCAAGATTTGTTTGCAAAATCAATTATGCCCATAGTCCTCTGGGTAACACCATTGCATGATGTAAACTAAGATATTTGATAATAGTCCCTTACATAACATTAAGCAACATACCATATTTTGACACTCAACTCTTGTGTTATAGTACACACCAGCTCCAATGTTATCCTGTATACTAGCTATGGAATCACTCCCACAATGCCGCAGCATGGAATAATGATGCAAATTCTGGTGGAGGTTTGCTGCATGCCACTCGGAAGGATCATCAACCACAAATATCAAATCAATCATATTCTTCTATAAAGAGAAAAAAAATTGTTGTATAAACAGACTTCTCGAGTTCATAAAATGCATTTCCGTAACTGTCTTCAGAATTCCGTAATAAAACTTTCCATAGCACCTAATAATTTGCAAGATATGGGTTGGTTAAAATTGCAGGTACATCTGTTGAATTTCAAACAAACTGGACAGGATGCAGATTTATTCTGGACAATTTGTCCCACTTTCAAATTGGGTCTAATTGTTCAGAAAATGTATCTGATCATCTTTCGCTCGATCAGATTGGGTCTGATTGTTTGTACAGTAATTTGATGTGGAATTTCAAACAAACGGAACAGGATGAAGATTTATGGGCAAAGTATGAGTTGTCTAGAGACAATGTTGCCAAATACCATGATGGAAAAGTAATTTGTTTTGGACTTTAGACCTACCGGTATATATTTATGGGTCTAGGCCTTTGATAAATTTCCATAGATGTTATCTATTTCCATACATTCATAATTAGGTAAAATGTCCATAGCAACTAGCAGGGGAAGATTTAGGTGGGGGGGCCCCCCCCCTTTTGGGAGGGAAAAAAAAAAAGAAAGAAAAAGAAAAATATGATAGCCCACAACGCCTCAAATGTTATTTTCGGGCGTCTAGAACACAACATTTTCGCCTGGACCCCCTAGGACATTGTTGTCTCGATCGGCCCAAATTTCAGTCCCCCCTTTTGAACATCTCTGGATCCGCCCCTGACTAGGTCTAACTATGGAAATTCTGTAGTACTTGAGAAGTCTGTACATGGTTGCATACGAGCAGTGTGTACAATATTTTGTTTCATTTTGTTTCATTGCATGCCTCAACATAATACCATTTTTTAATTGGTTAAAAGATGGTAGACTGTTCCATTCAAAAGAAAGGTGTACTTTCAAACTCACTCTATTTTTGTTCATAAAATTTTCAAATGACAAGGGTCTATATTCAGTGTTATAAAACAAATAATCAATGTTTCTTATTTGTGCAAAGGAAAAAAATATTGATAGTAATTGTTACTGTCGTGATGGAATAATAGACAATAACTGGATTTGCGTCAGGAGACTCATGTATAGGTGTAATTTTGCCCTACCTGACGTGGAAATGTACCGAATACTCAGTACATTTGAAAACAACTGCGAAAAAATTCGCAAGTTGTTCTCGGGTGGGACTCGAACCCACGATCTCCAGATCACTAGCCTGGCATCATACCTTTAGACCACCGAGCTTGCATCTGATGGAGGCACAATTCGAGTTCCACCCGAGAACAACTTGCGATTTTTTTTCGCAGTTGTTTTCAAATGAAAAAAATATCGTTACAAGTTGAAAGATTTTTTTACTCAATAAAAATATTCTTCCCATTACATTTTTTATTTTGTAAACTACTGTAGTATAGTATTCATTGAATGTTGTCGAGTATCTACTGTGGTATATATTACAATTTATTTTACTTCAAAGAAGAGGCTTACTCTTAGACAGGTAGTGGTAATCAGGTAGGTGAGGGTGATGGGTGGGTAAACAGGTTAATTATAAGTTAATAAATGTGTGGTTGAATGAGGCCTGATGATGATATATGACAGGCCTCATTGAACTAGAAATTATCTTCATCTTAAAATTAGAGTGATTAAATTTTGGAACTACTTTTCTTTTTAAAAAGATATATCGTATATAGGGCGACCTACGTATAAGACAACCTCCCCTCCCTCCCATTTCATCATCAGAATTCCTGCTTTTAATGATCTTGATACTGCATCTCTAGCTGTCTAAAATCGGAGCCAAATGCAAGGCTAGTCTTCCAAAAAAAATACCATTTTATGAGTTTTTAAATGTTCATCAAAATCTTATTTCCTCTTATTTAAAATTTAGCTTCATTGCATTAGTAAATTTGTATGTTACGGATGAATATGACTTAATAAATCTAAAATTTGTATGTCAGGGCTTGTCAAATTTGTATGACAACCCCTGTTTTTTTATTATAAATTACTATTTTAAGCCTTGTTTTATACACGACTATATACAGTACTTTTCTTTTCAAACTGCCCTGATTTTGTATGCACACAATTGAACATTTAAAAAAATGCTGCCACTAGATAAGGGGCGTCCTATTAAAATTTGAATGGAGTTCGAAACTCCAACATACACACAGCACACTAGCCTGGGGTTCCAGGCTCTAATTTTTGGTTAATCACTCTTTATTGCACTTAGTGCGCGCAATACCTAATTTAATTTGCATGCCATACTCAATTCATTTTTTATTTTTCTGATTCCGTCTCTAAATTGAAACCTTATCGTTGGTGGCGGTGTCCGAATACAGGGGCGAATCTAGGTTCACATTTAGGGTGGAGGGGTCAGACCTTTTTCATAAAAACACCAAAAAAAAGGGGATTCGGGAAAATTTTGATTCTTAGATGGCGGGAAATGAGCTTTTCAGACTTCTGAGGTGTCTTTTAATTAGCCTGGTGCGAGAATTAGCATAATGAACCGTAACCAGGAAACGAGTTTGGAAACATTGGGCTCGAAACGTACGCTCCCTCACATCGTACGTTAAATTGAATGCTGATTGGTCTTTTTTTTTTGACCGGAAGTCAATGCAAGACCCCCCGCAGCGATTAAAGCCCGGCTTAGAAAAGTTCAACACGGTGGCATGCCAGGCCTAGTTACTATAGGAACACAGCCCGGCTTGAGATAAGCCACCTAGTTCAGACTGGCACGTGGATAAACCCGGTGAGTTGAGCCGGGTTTATCCACCTAGTCTGAACTACTACTACTACTACTAGTACTAGCTAGGCCTCAGTCTATGAGGCCAGCCTAGGCAGTACTGTATGAAAGCTGTTAAAATCAGCAGCGGCACTCACGGAATCGATATTATTCTGCTGTTTAAAAACAGCTGAACCATATGCAAATGCGTAGTTGATACCAGCTGGAAAAGTAGAGAGTATCTTGTGTAAAATGTTATGCCTACCGGCACGGCTGAGGGTTCCCATTGTATATTGACGCACGCCTCCACAAAAAAAACAACATTGGGCGTATTCGACTAGTTCATTTCGTTGACTACGAATTTTCGTTCAGTATTACCGTATTTTCATTCGATAAAACTGGATGAAAATATTTATTTTTACGAAAAACTCATACTGTCACCATGGAGGTATTATTGAGAAGGAGATCACTCGGCAACAGATCCCTTTGACGCGACAAACCTATGTGTTCCCCGCTTTTGGATCGCGCGCGGGCGTATTACCCTATAATTCACATTTTTTCGTTAGCAACAACTTGGCAACGACATGCATATATACGCTTCCAGCAGAGCAGTTGTGCAATAAAACGTTTGATTTTAACCCATTAAATATCTTTATAATGAACAATGTTCCCCTGATTAGATTTTTTCGGGCTTTTGGTATGTTATTATTTGTATATTTCAGGAACGGATTCCGTAAAATATTTATGTTAAAATTACTTCTGTGTTCATTATAATTTTGTCTAAAGATTGGCTGGTTCGACTATAAAGCTAAGTCAGTGTAAAACTGAAAAATACTCAGATTTTGGATTCATTTTTCGAATAGTTAACCCTCGTTAACCCTAAAATGACTTAGTTTATTATAATCCTTAATCATTTATTAATTAATATCTGTTAAAATTAGAATGGGCGAATTTAGGCCAATTTATGAAAATTGAAGTTGAAATATACTGTCATGTAAATGTTCCATTAAATTCGAAACTTTTCTTGGTGGAAAATATTAATATGTTTGATATTTTATGAGAGATGAATGTATCAGCTTCAAAATAAAAAAGATTGCGCAGCCATAGTGATTGACAAGAAAAGAAGGTGCTCTCAATTCGTCATGTTCAATTTTTTGGTCAACTATGCCTGTTGAAAATTTGATGGCGGGGAACACATGGGACTTCAAAGGCATCGCGCAAACGTTCTTTACGCGCTGCGGCAACTTTGATCTTGGTTCATTTGCATAGCGCTGCGTGCGCGTAGCTTTGCCGAGTGATCTCCTTCTCTATAATACCTCCATGCTGTCACAAAGCAATCTTGATTACACAGCCTGTATCGCGTCGCGGTAACTATGCAGCCATTTTGTTTTGTCGAGTATTTATAGGTTTTCTATTGGCCGTCTTCGTTATATGGTTATAGCATGGAGGTATTATTGAATAATAATAATACCTCCATGGTTATAGCAATGGTTATAGTAGGATTTTAGCGCTATTGCAGCAGGTGAGCGTGCTTTAACCTCCATGTTTTAACGAAGAACGACCAGTCGAATACGGCCATTCACGCGTGAATTTCGGCGAGACGGACGTAGGAGTTACCACATGGCGACATCCACCACTAGGTGAAAATAAGATTTGTTCAATACAATCAGTGGAGGCGCTACGGTCAGTACGGGGGACAAGGGGAATTTTCTCCCGATAATTTTTCCCCTTCCTCCGTTCCACCCCCACTCCCAGTTTCGCCGGGGAAGATAACAAAATTAATTGCTCCCATCGGTCTGTCTGTCATTTCACGGCCGCTGGCCACTTAAAAACAATGCATAACAAACTTTCTACTTTCATTGTAACAATTTGAATGAATGGATACTAAATTAATTAATTAATTAATTAATTAATAATTTAATAAAATAATTTAATAATAATTCTAAATTTTCTCCTAGCAATACACGATTTGTGTTTTGTCATTTTGTGTCGGTGGCATCAAGCTTATTAAAGAATCAGACCTGCTGGAAAAGTCTATAGAAAGCATCTTTTGTAGAAAGTTATGCTTGATAATAATAATAATAATAATAATAATAATAATAAATATTATTATTATTATTAATAATTTATTTTTGTATAGCGCTAATAAACAATAAATCATTCTCACAGCGCTTTACAGAAAAACTATACAGTAGTATTAGAACGTTCATCAATCCTAGCCATCTTAGGTTATTTTTGTAGTTGTTTGTTATTTCTGTTGTATTGTAGTAAATTGTGGTAAATTGTATTGTGGTAAACTTTTTAGGTTGAATAAAGAAATGAATGAAAAGAAAAAGACCTAGTAGCGAATTTTCTTAACGTGGGATAGTTTGGTACAATCTTATGAATTATTCATATTCTTCCGTAGAGCGTATTTGGCGCATGCGCTGTTTTCAAGTCTGTGTCAGCCTCAGGGGGATGGACAGCTGTTCGTGTGCATCGCGAGGAAGCGAATAAAGTTCGATTTAGATAGAGCATGCCTCCATGGATAGAGACACACGACGTGTCCATTCGTGGCCCGGTATGAATTCCGTTAGGACATCCTACGCAGCACATTCAATATTTGCAATGAATTCCTTTTTATTTTCTTGAACTATTAAAAAATATAAGTATTAGTAGCCAAATTCCAGTGAGCTTAAATAGTCCCGGATGTGGGTTTAATTGAATTCTTCATTGGCCATAATGTAACCTAGACTGTTTACCGTAGGCCTACTCGAGCGAATAAGCGCCTGGGCGCTTAAAATATTTTTTGCACTTTCTGAGGGGCGCTTATGAAAATAGAGTGGAAATAGTATGTATCGCTTATGGCAATAGATGAAAATCGAGCGGTTCTCAGGGGAAATTATTTTAACAATGACAAATTCAAGAGGCACTTTTTGAATGAAAAAAGATTATATAGACCTAAGGACATTACGAATGGTGGTTAGAAAAGATAATCTTCCAGAGAACATGACTCATAACAAGAATGCGTGAATATTTACATAACAGCAAAATAGCAGATGCAATTAGTGGTGGGTAGTGGTTAGCTTGTTGGTCATCGGCCGATTGAGATTAGCAGGATGGCAGGATCATTGTATTTTTCTTGAAAACTCAGATGAGAATGTGCATAGACAAATATGTAAAAAGATTAAGTTGGAAATATACTGTCTGTCCAGGGATCGGAGCTCTCATCTTATTTTGATATTGACTGAAGAAGAATGTGTTTCCACTCTACAGCTCAAATCATGTCAACAACCACAGTCCCAGGATTAATTGGATTATTGACTTGCTAAAAATAAAATCTTATGAGGGGCGCTTATTCAAACGGGGCGCTTAAGGAAATGTTCACGTTAGGAGGGGCGGTTATTCGAGAGGGGCGCTTATTCGCTCGAGTACGGTATACTCAATCGGCCCTTTATGGGATACTGATCAATGTCCTAATAGTTATGCTTGTGCTGTAGTGTAAACTAGCACTTTGAAGTAGGCGTCGGGTATGTTGACTTTGTATCAATATCATTTGGAAATCAAAAGAATAAAAATTCTCAGTATGTATTTAAAATTGTATTTATAATATATAAATAAATTTAATGGCAAATGGGATAAACCCATAAAAACAACGAGCAGCCACATAAATGCAAATAAT